CTGGCATGTGGTGCTGGGGGATTGAACCGCGGTCCCTGATGCCTTGCCAAGCTTGTTCTAAGTAGGTGCTTTAGACCACTGAGCCATCTCTCCAGCCCCTTCTCTTATTTTCTATCTCTGCCCAGTAAGTCAGTCTAGGCCTCTCACTGACATGTCCTGAAATACTTTCCTATGTTAAGGGTCAAACCAACTCTCCAGGGTGAGTTGAGGTCTCTGTCTTCTCTTTGAGGAACCTCTTGAGACCCACTGGGGACACTCCTATAACTTGTAGGAGACTTGTCACAATTGTGTCTGACTCTGTCTCCAGACTCTGGAATTGAGTTAGACACCAAGTGATTCAGAATATAGATACCACAGGGGAATTATAGAGTAGATTTTGTGACTATAATCAGTCTTTTTCATGTATTCTGTGTTTGTGAATTTATGTAGTTGCGGAAATTCATTTGTAATGAATTTTGGTCATTTTTAGACATGGATGGACAGCTGAGAAATTTGAATCACCAATGTACATGCACATTCCCAGCTAAGGCCAAACAAAGCAACCCTGATTTTTAAAAATTCATTCCTTCCTTCCTTCCTTCCCTTATTTATTTATTTAGTACAGGGTCTCGTTACATAGCTCAGGCTTGTAGCGATCCTCCTGTCTCAGCCTCTCCAGCGCTGGGATTACAGGCATGTGCTACCACATCTGGCTTCAGGGCTGGCACAGCACACATGGGGCTCCAGGGCTTGCATGGCATGTGGTAGCAGGGATCAGACTTGGGTCCTTGTGTTTGCTAGGCTGGTGCTTAGACTGCTGAGTTATCTCCCCAGCTCTTTTTGCAGATTTCATGTTGTAAATATCCTTTTCATGGACTAATCTGTGCTGTATTTTTTTCATAGTTTTGTGCTTGCTTTGGTCACTTCCTTGTGTAAAATGGCCCCCCAAAGTATTTCCCAAGTTTTGGCTAGTGTTGTTAAGTGCAGGAAGGCAGTGATGTACCTTATGCATGTTAAGTTAGTTTTGCTTAGGAAAAAATTATAATGCTCTTGGCAGTGAGATCAATCAATGTAAATGACTATTTAAAAAACTCACACAAAACAAGGTTATATATTGATTGGACGACAAAAATGTTACAACTCAGGGCCAGGGAGATAGCTCAGTAAAATAAACACTTGCCTAGCAAGCACAAGGGCCTGAGTTCAATCCCTGGTTCCGCCAAAAAAAAGAAGTTACACCTAGTGGTTTACAGGAACCTAACATTGTCTTTGCTCTAAGGCCAGTGATTCAGTATGCCAAATTAAAAATAACTAAAAAAAAAAAAAAAAGGAATTGAACCTAAGATTTTTATTCTGAGCTACATCCTATCCTTTTTTTGAGAGAGTCTCTCTGAGTCACTAAATTGGCACTGGCTATGCTCAAACTTGTGATCCTCCTGCCTCAGCCTGCCAGAGTGGTGGGATTATAGACATGGGCCACCATGCTGGGTTAAAAAAACAACCTATTGCTGGGCGTGTTGAGTTCAAGGCCACAGAGGACTATAGAGTGAGCCCCTGTCCAAAAAAATTCCCCAGAAACAAAATAAAAAACAAAACCACATGAAAACATATGAAGAAAATGGTTTTGCTGTTGTGACAGTTTGCTGGGGAAAGAGTTTATATAATTCAGTAAAAATTATTCATAATGATGTCTTTATATGTATTTTTCTATTATCAGAGTGCTTTTACGGAATTTTCCTTGGAAAATTGATTGTTGAGTAACTATTTTGAGGTTGCACAGCAATTTAATGGCAGGCTTGGGATTCAGACATCCTTTCTCTGTACCTAAGTAGTTTCAATTAAGGATTTGTACAAGAATTACAGGATTGGAGAAAGAAAGGACAGAGTTGATTTATTTTTCTAGTAAGAACTGATTTAAAATATTGGCCTAAGATCAAGTAGGACCCACATTTCAAAGAAAAATTTTGTTGACATTGGAAATAAGATGATGAAAATCTTTAGAAAATTTTTTTACAGTTTTTTTCAGAAAAATTTCTAAAGTTTGCAGTATTCTTACTTGTAATATTCTGTTGCTTCTTCCTTCGCTTTGGCCCTGGCTCTGTAGTTTTATTTTATCCCATGTTTACATTTTTAGAAAAGAGTACCTGACATCATTCTGATAAATCTGTCAGTATTAATAAAACAATACAGCAGTGACTGTCATTTGGAAACCATTCCAATAGATCAAACTTAAGTTGAAATAAAACATATTTAGCTCTATGTTTGATTTGAAATATAAAGTGCTGTGAGTAGCCTATTAGGAACAGTTACACAATGTTGGGACATGAAATATTTTATTTTTTTATTATTATTATTATTTTTTAAATTTTATTTATGTGTGTGTGTGTGTGTGTGTGTGTGTGTGGCCAGCTCAGGCCACCAGGGGGTGGGACTGGCTGGCATGTGGTGCTGGGGGATTGAACCGCGGTCCCTGTGCTTTGCTAAGTTTGTTCTAAGTAGGTGCTTTAGACCACTGAGCCATCTCACCAGCCCCAGGGACATGAAATATTTTAGAAGGTATCTCTAGGTTCAAAATTCTAATGCCTTTCCCTACTCCACCCTGACTCTTCTTTCCTACTCATAATAAAGTAGTGATAAGATTCCTCTTGATACCAAGCTAGACATTTTGCAAGGTGTGCTTGTTAATTGTTTGTAATTATAAGGAGTAGGTATTTTATCTTTATAGATGATAAAGCTGCATTGTGATTATCAAATAGGTAGTTTATAAACACCGGAACCAGGAGTCAACTTGATGCTAATTCCAAGTACTTCTTTCTACAATATGTTGTTCAATTTTATTTATAGATATAGTGGTATTGGTGGTTAAATGCATGGCTACATCCTCAGTCATTTTATTTTTATTTATTTATTTATTTATTTATTTCCCCAGTCATTTAAAAAAAATATTTTTAGGACATGATCTTGCCAAACTGCTCTCTGGCTGAGCTTAACCCTCCCAAATAGCTGGGTTTATAGCTTGCTCCACCACACCTGGCTAGTATGCTTTTTTAATTGGTTCAGAACTCTACCGTTGATTATACTTGTATGTTAAAGCTAGAAGGGATTGTATATGTTGAGATTTTTGAACTTACGTGTAAACATAAGTATATAATTCTTTATGCCTATTTTAAAAATATATTCTAATTTTTAAATGTTTTTTATTGTATTCTGTAGGGACTTAAAGTTCAACATATCAATACTTGATGAAAAATACCTGTTCCATGTTATGCCTAAGATGTTTAATATTCAGACAGATAGTGAGGTTAAGCTTAACAGCCTAAATTGTATAGTAATAAGAATAAGCTTGTCTTCTGGATGGTTAACAACCTAAGTTTGCAGACCAAAATTAGAGAAAAAGGAGGGCTGCAAGGAAAGCCAACATTTTGGCCCTAGCCTTCTAAGGTCAGTTAAGACTCAGGACATATGAGAACTTGTACTGTAACGTCATGTAACTCAGCAGTGTCCCAAATTTTCTGATCAAGGAGATTATGGGGCCAAAGAGGAAAGAGATCGATGATGTAGTAGAGTGTGCCTAAGGAGAATCACATGGAGAGAAAACATTCTCTCAGGGTTTCACAGAGAGCACATTGGCCAAGCAATGGCCATGACTCATCCACATGGCTGCACTGACAAAAGTTCTACAATCTGAGGTACAGGATCTCAGGATAAATCCTGAGGAGATTTCACTGACCTCATCAGACCCAAAAGCTACAACTCTTGTTGCACAGGTCCTGCTTTACCTTGGTCTTAACCATCCAGCAGAAAAATATAAAAACGAAATATAAGAAGTAAAGCCATGCTGTTATGTTGAGCTGTAGGGGACTCAGGTCAACGATTTCTGACATTGCCAGTCAAGCAGAAGACCCAATACTATTATGGGCTACTGGACTCTTTTAGAATATTTTACTGAGTTTACACACCTATAAATATTCAAATAATGGAACTTAACCAAAAAAGGGGATACAGATGAATGTGCATTTTGTATCTGTGTATTCAAAGTGGTTAGGATAGATATATAGTTACATTCTCTTAATGAATAGAGGGATTTGTTCTAATGGTGTTAGAATATCATATCTGCATCTTGTACAGCAATTAACCACTTGGAAGAAGGTATGCAATGTGTTAATTATTGAAACTGTCCTACCAATTTGATTTGAAACTGTCTCATTGCTATTTGTTTATCAATAAAATTGTGGGGGAAAAAGAAAACTAGAAGAGAGCTTGGAGATAATCCTGGTACCCTTTCATCCCATTACCGAGCATGGATCCTGCAGCTGGCCTGCCGAGGGCGCAATCCTAAGCCCGCTACTTATTAACTATATGATGTTTGGAAAGCTGCTTATCCTGTGCATAGCTCAGCTTCTCATCTGTGAAAGCAGGGTGATAACAATATACCTGTGTCACTGTGTGAGGGTTGTAAGGTTTAAATATTGAGGTGAAAGTTCTAGCCCTTTACTTGTTTGTTTGGTTCCTCTGGCAGCCGTCCCACGCCCTCATCCACAAAGAGGCACCTTATAAGCACAGACTCCAGTAAGGTTGAAGAGGGGCTTGTGATGAATAACAAAACACTCCAGTCACTCAGAAACTGCAAGGGTCCTTGGAACTTTACGTCAGGAACTGGAAAAGAAGACCAAATACGTACTTCTTACATCACAGTGTCACGGGCGCTCTCCACATGTTTAGTCTGATACAGATTCCTGACATGGTGTTTTTGGTTTTTTTTCTTTCTTTCTAGGGAAGGCAGACTAGCACCTCCCGGTGGGTTCCAGTATGCAGCCGATTGGTACCATTGTTTCCTACGCAAGTGCCATGGAGCAGGACTGTGTCTGGCATTTCCCATGTAAGATTTGTTCTTCTTGGACTTAGTATGAAAATCTTACTGTTTCTGTGCAAATATATATTTATAGATTTGTCAACCAAATTGTGTGATGGAAAAACCTCATGAGAACACGGAAGGTCTCTGTAGTGCAGCTCAGGACTGATCCCTACAATATGGTGTCCAGGGCGTTCCTTCTAAATGCCCCAGCGATGGAACTCAGCCTAGGATACCATGTTACAGTCTGCTGATTTTTACTGGTAGGGAATTTTTCCAGACATTCATTTCAGAGTTAACTTTTTTTCAGTTTTCTTTTCGAAGCTACTTTCTGCTGCTCTTATTTGGGGCGAACGTGTCTCTTTTTTTCTTTTCATGAATGTAAAATCCAAGAAACAATTATTTGAGGCCTTAGGTTACCTAATGTCAGATACATGACTCATTGTAGTGTAGTTAACCTTGGATCTCCCTTGGGGGGGAGTTATTTTTCCTGATTTTTGTTACATCATACAAATATGTTAATAATAAAGGAAATAAAAATGACCTGTGACTTCAAATCTGAAATATCAGTATTTTCATCTCAGCTGGTTCTTTTTTTTTTTTTTTTTTTAATGTATTTAGTACAGGGTTTACAGAGTCCTACTACACAGATTGAACTAGTGATCCTCTTGTTTTCAGCCTCCCAAGCACTAGGATTACAGGTGCGCATCACCATGCCCAGTCTCAATTGAAGTCTCAGCCTGCCCCAGGGGCAGGGCTGGCACTGCCCACCTGGGATCGAATCCCTAGCCCCTGCGTCTGCCTAAGCAGGCACTTTAATCCACTGAGCTATCTAGCCAGCCCTGACAGTTTTCTTTTTAAAGCCTGTATAATATTCATATATATATATAGTATGTAATATATAAAATATATTTGTATTATGTAAATATATATCACATTTTTTTAATCTGTTTGGGTCAGTGGACATTGGATTGCTTCTACTTCTTGGCTATTATGAATAATCCTGCAGTGAACATGAGTATGCAAATACTAGTTTAAAGAACTGCTTTGAACTCTTTTGGGTATATACCCAGCATTGAATTACTATATTATATGTTAAGTCTATTGATGGTTTTTGACTGCAGCTGTGATGTTTTCCTAGTAGTGATTTTCTGTTTCCACTATTTCTATTTTTATTAACTGGAATTCTTCTGAAAGGGGGAGCTGTCATTTCTTTCCCCCTTACTTATTTTTCCAACTATTTATCATTATAAACTCATGGATGTTTATCCTCTTACCTGAGTTATAATCCATTTCAAATTAACTATTTTCTTCCATCAAGTAGATTGTCCCAGTTTTGACTCTTGGGAACTTCTTCAAGTTCTGTTTTACATGTCCCCATTGTTTTTATTTTATTTTATTTTTTCCCCCATTGTTTTTAAATACGCCCTTATTTCTCAGCACCACAAGATGTTTCAGTTTCATGTTGTATTTTCTTTGCTCTTATCACAAGTTCAATCATTTCTCTAAGGAGCTCTAGTTCCTTTCATTGGAAAATGGTGTGTAGAGGTAAAGATGTCTGAACCTGTGTTTTTGAACTCAGGTTTTTGAGCATTGCTTGATATAGGGGAAAGACCATAGTTTTAAGTATGTTCTGTTTGAACTTTCTTTGAGAGTTGGTGGCCTAATTTCTAGAGTGGGAAAAAACCCCAGTATCTGCTTTATAAGGCTGTTGTGAAAGAGCATAAGTGAAATGCAAAGAATATACCAGGGCTGTAGGGAATTCTCAATGAGTTGCAACTGCTATTTTGTTGCTATTTATGTTCCTGCTACTTGGGTGAGTTTTCACCTCATTGTATAAAGTGAAACTTCAAAGAAAAAAGTCTTAATCATGTTACAACCTCTCCCTTAATTTTAGTTTCCTCATCTGTGAAGTGAAAATTTTGGACAGAAGACCTCTGAGCTCTCTTCCAGCTCAAGTGTTGTTATTCTAAGCTTAATTCTTAAGTTGCCTTTTTTCCAAACCAAACACTTCAATTCATTTTAACCTTTCCTCTAGGACCTTTTATTCATCCCTTTGATCATTCCTGTGGTTCTTGTTTGGACCTTCTCCAAGTTGTCCTGCTCTTTGAAAACAGTAGAAAAAAAAATCTACCTAGTTTTTATTGAAGTACCAACACCATGCCCAGAATGGTTTTGAGCATTGGGACACAAAATAAAAAGAATGTAAGATGGATTAGGCCCTGGTGGAGCTTATAGTTTTAGTGGGCTGTAACATACACTGCCACCATGATATTCAAGAATTATGTGAGTGTTTGACTTCTGTCACCCTCTCTTTTTCTTTTTCAGAATCCTTAGGGAAAAAAAAAAAAGAAAAAAAGAAAAAAAATTGGAATCTTATATATTCCTGTTAATGAGGGGCTATCTGCAAGAATTTGTTTTTTTATTTTTTATTTTTTTAAGAATTTTTTTTTATCTTTTGTATTTCTTAGGGAAGGGGCTACAGGATGTTCAGGGTCTCACTACTAGATTGGACTTGTAGTGATCCACCTGTTTACAGCCTCCCAAGAGCTGGGATTACAGGTGCGTGCCACCACGCCCAGTCTCAATAATTTGTCACTACAGTTGTCCAGAATAGGTCTTTACATCTATATTATACATTGTAGTTTACACATCTAGTTTATACATTGTAGTTTACACTATTTTATTTGGTTCTCAAAACATTTCTGAGACAGGCAGACTAGAGCTTTAACCCAAGTCTCAATTTTGTGTTTGTTCTTTTTCTACTATAACATTCCTTCCTCTCTTGCATCTAATTTTACCTTCTTCTGTACCTGCCTTTTCTTTTTTTCTTTTTTTTTTTTTGGGGGGGGTGACAGGGTCTCTATGTAGTCCATGCTGGCCCAGAGCCCAGCATGTAGCCCAGGCTGGCCTGAAACTCGTGGTGATCCTCTTGAATACTACAGATTACTTTGCCTTCTAAACATAGAATCTGAAGGTAGTGGTAGTGGATTCACCCGGTGTGTGGAAAGCCCTGGGTTCCATCCCCTGCATAGATAAGCACGTATGTGTATCCGTGCAAGGCTCTGGGTCCCATCCTTAGGACTGTAAAAACAAGTAAGTGAATAAAATGAAAATGCACTCTATAGTGTCTGCTGTCATTTGTCTTTGTTTTACAGATTCATCCTTGTTGTTCTTTTTAGTAATAGTTTTCCTTTGTATAGTATTTTAGTATATGAATATATTGCAGTTCATGTCTTCATTCTGTTGATGGGTATTTGGATTGTTTCCATTTGAGAATTTGATGAATATCACTATGTGTGTGTGTGTTGGTGAATATATCTGTAAAGTTTTTGGAGGATATACTTGGAAGTGGAGTGGGCTGACTCCTACAGGTTGTTCGTAAGTGCCACTGCAATAGATGCTGCCAAGTATTTTCCTAAACTGATTAACTTTTTATACTTCCACCAGCAGTGTATGGAAGTTTTACTGCTTTAAATGCTTGCTAACACTTCGGAGATCTTTTTTTTTTTTTTTTTTTTTTTTGGAACCCAGGATTGAACTCAGGCCCTTGGGGTTGCCAGGGAAGCACTTATTCCACTGAGCCATCTCCCCAGCCCCTGGAGGTCTTTTTTGTTGTTGTTTGTGGTGGCTGACAAAATATAATTGGTTCTGTTATTGTAGGGCAACACGCTTGTCTCCTCACATGATGATGAGTTCTTTAAGGGTGAAGATTCTGTTTCTGTCCCCGAGCCTCACAAGAGTTGGTATGTCCTGAGCATTTTGCACAGGTTGGGACAGCATAGATGTATGATGTGTGCGTGGATAAGGATAGGAAGGAAATAATTAGAAGTCAAAGTTAAAGAAATGGTAGCATTTGTTCATTCATCAACTATTTAAGCCTCCTGTGTGCGATTCTACTTGGTTCTTTTTTTTTTTTTTTTTCCTTTGTGGTACTGGGGACTGAACTCAGGACCCTGCATTTGCCAGGCAAGTGCTTATTCTACTGAGCTATCTCCCTGGGCCCTATACTTGGTTCTGGTAATATACGTAGTTTTTACCCTTGTGTATATTGGTATTGATGATAGAAAATGACCAAATATACAAATAAATATGTAATTATACATTATACAAAGCACTTTAAAAGACATGAACAGGCTACTTCTGTGGTAGGGAATAATGGAGTAGAAAGAAACTTCTTAGATAAGGTGGTCAGAAAAGCCATGGTTATCTGATTTTTCATTAGATGCTTGTAATTTTAATTAACCGTCTCCTTATCAAACTTTTGCTGTAGCTTCACTCTTGTGATTAATACCACAATGAAGATGCATGTAGTTTTCTCTTCAGGAAATTATTTTCAAAACTGTGTGTTGTTCTTGATTAAAAGGGAAAAAACATCTGGCTAGGCATGGTGGTGTATGCCTCTAATTCCAATATAACTATGTAGAACATAAATAGCTATGTTCTACAATTAGGAATTCTAATTTTTCTTTATTAAAACCAAAGAGAAAAATCATTTTCATTCCATGTGTCCCTTCTCTCTTGAAATAAACCAGAATTGGAAGATTAACTTTCTTCTTCCTCTTCCCTCCCACCTGTTTTTATTGTAAAGGTAATGGAACCTCCCTGGAAATTTAGGAACTAGATTCCTAAAATTACCCCTAATTCATTTCTGCTTTTCTCTTCCTTCTTGCCTACCCGCCTCTTTGTTTCTTCATCCCCACCCCTTCTTTCAGTGGTTGTACCGGAGATAGAACCTAGGGCCTCACATATGGTAGGCAGGTGTTTTGTTGAGCTATGTCACCAGCCTGATACATATGTCATACATACATACATACATACATACATACATACATACTAGACATTGAACTAAAGGACCTTTGCATTGAGCTACATCCCCAGTTATGTAAAATTTTTAAATTTTGCAACACGATCTTACTAAGTCACTAAATTGCCCAGACGGAGTTTGAATTTGTGATCTGCCTGCCTCAGCCTCAGTTTCCTAGAGTGCTGGGATTATAGGTGTACACTGTCATGTCTGCCTGTTATCTGTAATTGTGATGTGACAAAATAACCCCTTCACTTAAGTGTGAGGCTTCCTTGGTTTACCCATGTGCATTCATGGTTTTGCTTATAATTTCATCCATGTTTTAGATATTGTTTTCGTGTTAAAAATTATAATCTCAGGGCTGGCCAAATAGCTCAGTGGATTAAAGCACCTGCAAGCAGGCCCTGGGGCCAGGTGTTCGATCCTGGGCCTGCCGTGCTGGCCCTGCCGCTGGGGTGTGCTGCAGTGGCGATTGAGACTGGGCGTGGTGTTGCCCGCCTGTAATCCCAGCTCTTGGGAGGCTGTAAATAGGTGAATCACTACGAGTCTGATCCAGTAGTGAGACCCTGAACACCCTGTAGGCCTTTCCCTAAAATACAAATAAATAAATTAAATTAAATTAAAAAGTTAAATTATGATCTCTAATGTGAACTATGGACTAGAATGTTGATAGTAGGGAAAGGTATGCATTATATGTAGGTGAGGATATGTCAGAATTCCATATTTGCTGTTCAGCTCTGCTGCAAACCTGAAACTGCTTTTAAAAAATTATTAAGAGACTGGGTGTGGTGGTGTGTGCCTGTAATCTCAGCTCTTGGGAGGCTGTAAACAGGCGGATCACTAGGAGTCTGATCTAGTA